GAGGTCCTGCCTCTGGCACTGCCCACTGGATACTGCGGCTACTGCTGTGATGAACGTCCCATAGAGACACTGATGCAATTTTATATTTTCTAGTAACGACACTAAAAAAGTGAAAAAACCAGCAGGATGAATTTTAATAACATTTTATTGAAACGTACATAGTCAACATTTAAATATAAAAGATATATTGATAGGACATTTACATTACTTTTTCATGCAAGTTTTGGACACCCAATGTGTTTTATACGTACAGCACATCTCAGCTGTGTTAGTCCCTTTGCAGGTGCTCTGCCACCCCCGGGGGCCAGTAGCCTGTGTATTGGCCAGCACAACTCAGGAGTCAGATCCACGGGTGGACGCATCTGATTAGCCCAACCTGGCGGTGACTGTGCTCCCCCTGCCAGGCCCAGGGCAGGGAGGGACTGACACTCTGTTTTCCCGCACTGGGAAGCCTCTCACAGGAGAAACGAAAACCGGGCAGTCGAAGAAGACAAGTGTTCTCTACAGTGATGCTTTCTTCCTGGTCCTCCTGTGTGTCTCTGATCAATTTTTTTCTGTTTATCCTTTAAACGTGGGTGTTCCTCAGGGTTCCATTCGTGGCCCTTTGATCATCCCTTTGTGCTCTTTCTTTGGGTAATCTAACCTCCTGTTGGTTTTAGCCATCACCTATATGCCGATGACTTACATGTCTGTATTTCTAGCTGTTATTTTCTAGCTTTGTAGCTGTGTGTTTCTTTCTTGGCTAGACACAGCCCCCTTCCTTGCCCCACTGACTTTTGCTCAGCGTTTCCCAGTCTGGGCTCATCCTCTTCCCTCGAAAACCGCTCTTCCTCCTCTGACCCCTGCTCTCAGTTAGTGGCGCCACTAGATTGTACGAGCACGGTACCCTCTCCTCACTTCCTCACTCCTACTCACCTGTTAGTTGCCAGGTACTTGCATTTTACTCTTCACTTTCCCCTCAGATCTGACGCTTTTTCTGCTATAAGCCATTTTCATTTCCTGGCATCTTCTCTAGAATTGTTGCAACAGCGTCATAACTTGTTTCTGCTTTCTCTTTATCTTCCCTCTTTGCTTCTTACCTTTGTCTTCTCCCCCATCCTCCAACTGTCCTACCTACTGCAGCCAGAGTGATTTCCCTAAAGCGCAGGTTATCATTCCTTTGCTTGCATTTTTTCAGTTGATCCCATTGTCTACGGAGTGAAGTCCAAGCTTCTTGGTGTGGCACGTCGGGCTTCCTTGTCTGTTGGTCCAGTCTTACTTCCCCAACTCCTGACCTTAAACTTGATGTTTTCGTAACATGGAATGGTATGGGTGGATACAAACTGGAATGCTGTCTTGAAATGGGATGGCTCTGTTACCCCTGACCACCTGCTTTTGTATTTATGTGCTTTGCTTTTTATTGTTTTCTCTCCCCATCATGCCCTTTTCACCTTTCATGCCAGCTAATTTTGGCTCATTTGGAAGGTTCTATGAAGGCATAACCTCTGGTAGTTTTCCCTGAGTCTAGTGGTCGCCTTAAATACCCCTCCTCTCCACTTGCTACACTTGTTTATGCCTCTTTTTTTTCGCTATATATTATTGAAATTACCTATATGTAGCTGTGGGTTCTTTGAGGCCAGGGCACATCTTACTCTTCTTTACCTTGCAGCAGTATCGGGCACAGTATGTTTTCATTGAGCTGAATTAGGTAAGCTTGAAGGGAGACTGTAGGCAGAAAGATAAGTTGGCCCAAATTGCAGATACCTTTGCAAATAAAAAGCATTTGAGTGTTTGATGAATGAAGAAATAGAAATCATATTATATTGTTTTGTCTGTTTTCGGAGAAAAGTGACTTAAGGTAATGAATTCTTTGTTATAATCTTACCTGTTGTAGTAGTGCCTTAACATAAAGCATTGTTACTTTTGGGCTATTCTTTAGAGATCATATGCCCATGTTAGGTGACCCCGTGACATCATGTCAGCCATCTCTGTCCCTTGTATCCTGGGGTGCTGACGCCTGCATCTGTTCTATGCCTACTCTGCTCTTGCCAAGGCTAATACCAAAGAAGAATTTGCTGGGGTTAATACCTAGATCAGGGGTTGGCAGACTGCCACCTGTTTTTGTAAAGAAAGTTTTATTGGAACACAGCCACACCATTCATTTTTATATAATTTTCTGTGGCTGCTATTGTGTTCCCACAGCAGAGCTGAGTAACCACTGTTGTGGTCTTTGTTGGTGACAGACCATGTGGTTTGCAAAGGCTAAAATATTTACTATTTGATCTTTTACATAAAAAGTTTACTGATCTGTACCTTAGAGCCACTTAATGTTGGAAAGACAAAGCCTTATGTAATATCCAATTGGGTAGTAATCTCAGTTTAGGAATCAGGAGAAGACAGATTGAAAAGGACAAACCTTTTCGAGTTTTTTTGTATACTCTGCTTGGTGGGATGGTTTTGTTAAATTTCTTGTTGCGCTTTCCATTCTACTATATGTCACTGAAGAAAGATTGCCCACATTACTTACTGTGCCTCAAATATATGTACAGTAAAACCTTGGATTGCGAGTAACTTGGTTTGCGAGTGTTCCGCAAGACAAGCAAACATTTCTAGTACATTTTAACGTGGTAAAAGAGCGATGTCTTGCAATATGAGTAGTTTGTTTCTGGAACGAATTATGCTCGCAAACCAAGGTATTACTGTATTTATATATATTATATATTTACATATATGTGTGCATATATAAATATATATGTCTATAATCATCTGTCCATATTTTTTAAAGTCCAAAAGTTTTAAAATGAATCTCAACCATATGCAAGACATTGAACACCAGAGTCAGGTGTGTGAAATCTAAGTTGCAGAAAAAATGTATATCTTGGGCAGATTGCTGAGTGTGTAGAGGCTTAAATACAGGACTTCATTAAAATAGTTTAAAAGATCAGATCATATGTTTCCCTCTCTGTACCATGAGGCCCTTTCTCTACCCCTGCCTTCTGTCCTGTGGTTAGAGTTCCTTTGGTTTAACCAATTCTTTTTTCTCTTTTCAGTTTATTGAGAAATAACTGATATATAATATTGTATTAGTTTAAGGGGTACAACATAATGATTTGATATATGTATGTATTGTGAAATGATCACCATAATGTTTGGTTAACATCCATCATCTCATATAGTTAAAGAATTTTTTCCTTAATGACCGCTTTTTTTTTTTTTAAAGATTTTATTGGGGAATTGGGGAAGGGGAACAGTGTTGGGGAATTGGGGAAGGGGAACAGCCAAGTTGTCCTTCAATCTTAGTTGTGGAGGGCGCAGCTAGCTAGCTCAACTCCAAGTCCAGTCACCATCCGGACTCCTGTAGGCACCTCACGGCTGCTCAGCTTAAGGTGTCGTGTTGCAGGAGTCGAACTGGCAATCTTGTTGTTAGGAGCATGTGCTCTCACCAGCTGAGTCATCCTGTCACCTGTTGGCAGCTCAGCGGCAGCTCATCTGGGCACAGCTCACTGGCCCATGTGGGGAATCAAACCGGTGACCCTGTTACTCAGAGCTTGCACTCTTAACCAACTGAGCCATTCAGCCAGCCCCCTTAATGACAACTTTTAAGATCTACTCTCTTAGCAATTTCAAATATACAGTGTAGTGTTGTTAACTGTTGTCATCATGTACATTACATTCCCAGAGCTTATCTTATAATTGGAAGTTTGTACCTTTTGACCTTCACCCATTTTGCACCCCCGATCCCGCCTCGCCCCCACTCCCTCCCCCCACTCACTCCCTACCTCTGACAACCACTAGTCTGTTCTCTGTTTCTATAGTTTGATTTTTTTTTAGATTCCACATGTAAGAGATCATATGGTATTTGTCTTTTGCTCTCTTGAGTTAGTTATTTCACTTATCATAATGCCTTCAGGATCCATCCATGTTGTCACAAGTGGCAGGATTTCTTTGTTTTCTATGACTAAATAATATTCCATGGTATATGTATACCACATTTTCTTTATTTATCAATTGACCCATAATATTTTCATGTCTTGGCTATTATAAATAATGCTACAGTGAACAAGGGGGTGCAGATATCTCTTCAAGATAGTGATTTCGTTTACTTTGGCTATATACCCAGAAGTAGAATTGCTAGATCATATGGTAGTTCTATTTTCAGTGTTTTGCATAGTGGTTGTTCCAATTTATATTCTCATAAACAGTGCATAAGACTTCCATTTTTTCCATGTTCTTGCCAACACTTATTATCTTTTGTCATTTTGATGACAGGTGTGAGTAATTGACCAATTTTTTAATTTCTAATTTCTGAAAATAAGTAGTTTACTGAAGGCAGAGTCTTGGAAGTGTGTATTTGAGGTGGCATATACCTCTCCCTGGCATGTCACAAAGGGTGATGTTAGAATGATTTGTTGACTGGTCAGATGTGAGTATGGACCAGCCTGGCCCTATGTTAATTTGAATGCAGGAGCAGGGTCTGAGAGTGCCTGGAGTTACTCCTCGGTTGTTACGTGGTGGGGAGATTGGGGGTGCTGGGGCTGGGAGCTGGTTGAGGCTGCAGGGTTGAGATGTAAGGTTGAGGGTAACCAGCTGATGATCAGTCCTGCCTCTACCATTGGGTGCATTATTGACAGTAAAGCAAAGACCCTTTTGGTTCATTCTTTCACCAGACATGTTTGAAGAGGCTGTTATGTGAAGACCAGATGCTGAACCATAGGTGTTGGGGTTTCAACATGAGCAAATGTGCTTCTTGCTGTCCTGGGGCTCATAGACAGATGTGCTCACAACAGTGCGGTGGGAGGTGGGAGGGTCTGTACAGAACAAGGAAAGAAAGGTTTTGAGCTGATAAAACAGCACATGGCCATTAGGGTTCTAAGTGTTATAGGTTAAAAAAAACCTTTTGATATCTTGCACTAAGCCTGTACATTATACTTTTTTATACTATAATTTGTGTTTATGAAACAAATTTCAGTTTTCATAGAGTTACTACTTTGTTAGGATGTAATTAAATTTGTATATTTTAGGTTGCCTGCCTGATTCGAGTTCCTTCTGAAGTAGTTAAGCAGAGGGCACAGGTTTCTGCTTCTTCGAGAACATTTCAGATTTTCTCTAACATCTTATATCATGAGGTGAGATGTGTTTTTAAGCTCTCCTTTTTCTTTATTGAGAAAGATTTTATAGTAGCTAATAAGAACACTGAGTCTCATATGAGGGGTCCTATAGGGGACCTTAAAACTAAATGTAATGTCCAGTTATAGTAACTGCTTATGCCAAGATTATCGTTGTTTTTCCTTTGTTTTTCAATTTTAATTTTAATATTTTTTTCCTCAAATTTCTAAACAAACACATACTGAATGCCACCACTGTATGTGTGTCCTACATTGTAATCATCCTATAGTTCTTTTGAATTCAGACATGGAACAAATAGTAAATATGTAAAACCAGTGAAGATATATTAAAACATCACTACAGAATTTGAGGGTCCATGAAAGAGAAGTGTAGTAATGGTCTGATATTGTGACAAATGTCATAATATTTGTACCAAAGTGTAATTTTTCTTTTACCGGTTTGTGTTAAGCTGTGGGTCAGAACTCATCCCTGCTGGCCATGTGACTAGGGACCGTTGAGCTGCTTTCCTTTATAGTTTTTACAGAAACCTTAATTATTAAAAAAAAATTTTTTTTTTACAAAAGTCGGTCACATGAAAATTTCAATGAGTCTAGGTTTTAGAAAAGTTATTCTTTTTTTTAAAGATTTTTATTGGGGAATTGGGGGATGGGAACAGTGCTGGGGAATTAGGGGAAGGGTAACAGACAAGTTGCTGTCCTTTTGTTCTTCAGTCTAGCTGTGGAGGACGTTGCTTCACTGGCCCAAGTTGGCACCATCATTGCGCTCTTCCCGGGCGAGGCAGATCAGTCTCCGGCTTCTGGACGGCCGCTCACTGCGGCTGCTGGCTGCTCACGCTGGCTGCTGGCTACATACAGTAGCCCATGGCAATCCACTGCAGCAGGGGCTGCAGCCTATGCTGTCGCCGGCAACTCAAAGCAGCCCAGCTCCAGGTTGAGCTGTTGTTTAGCATCTTAGCTGTGGAGGGCAGTGTCACTAGCCCTCATATGTGGGATCCGAACCGAGGCCCTCTGGCATCCCAAGCCAGCTCTTAACCAACACGCCACACGGCCAGCCCTAGAAAAGTTATTCTTGATGGTCTCTCTGTCACCTAAGTGAAGAGATATTGAGTATTTACTTATATGCATGAGATCAATCCAGTAGAGGATCCCTGTTGAATCATGTGGACAGTTAAATAGATAATAAGCCAAGTCTCGTCTGGAGGTATTTATCACTATTGAGAAATTATTAATGAATTTCTGATGTCTTATTGAAACTATGAAATATAATTCTGTTTTTATAGGACAAGATAATCACCATTCTGTGTGCATTTGCTTTTGGAAATATATTTATTTAAAGCATCTCAAATATTCTTTTCAGAAGAAATGTTGAAAACAGCTAAAGCTAAATTAATATGTAGTCAGTTTTATGATTAGAGATGTTTCCCATTATTTTTGTTTGTTTATTTATTTTTTTCACTGAGCCATCCTGCCACCTGTTGGCAGCTCAGCAGCAGCTCAGCTCGGGTCGGGAATTGAACCGGTGACCCTGTTGCTCAGAGCTCACACTCCTGTGCAAGCTTTTTTTTTTTTTTTTTTAAAGATTCTGGGGACTTGGGGAAGGGGAACAGCGTTGGGGAATCGAGAAAGGGGAACAGACAAGTTGCTATCCTTTTGTTCTTCTGTCTAATTGTGGAGGCCGTCGCTTCACTGGCCCATGTTGGTATTATCATTGCACTCTTCCTGGGTGAGGCAGTCACTTGCCAGCCTCTGGACGGCCGCTCACAGTGGCTGCCGGCTGCTCACGGTAGCTCACGGCAGCCCACTGCAGCAGGGGCTGCAGCCTACGCTGTCACTGGCGACTCACAGCAGCCCAGCTCCAGGTAAAGCTGTTCACAATCTTAGCTGTAGAGGGCGCAGCATCACTGACCCTCATGTGGGATCCGAACTGGGGCTCTGCTGCTCAAAGCTGGTGTCCCAAGCCAACTCTTTTATCTCTTTTTTTTTTTTTTTTTTAGCTGAGCCATCCTGCTACCTATTGGTAGCTTAGCGGCTGCTCAGCTCGGGCTGGCATCGAACCGCTGTTGCTCAGAGCTCAAACTCTTGAGCGAGCTCTTAACCAACTGAGCCACTCGGCTGGCCCTCCCAAGCCAACTCTTAACCAACGTGCCACTCTGCCGGCCCTTGAGAGAGCTCTTAACCAACTGAGCCACTCGGCTGGCCCAAGAGATGTTCCCCTTTAAAGGGAGCTGACCTGAGCTTTCTGTACCTTAGGCCGGTTTAGAGCCCTTAACCTCTTAAGGAACTGTGGTCATTGTGAACATTTTAAAACTGAAGCTTTAGAATAGGTAAACCTGATTTATTCAGAATGTCATCCAGAATCTCCGCCATTCTAACTTTCTGAGCTTTCGGCCTTTTGTTTGTTTCAGGGCATCCAAGGATTGTATCGAGGCTACAAAAGCACAGTTTTAAGAGAGGTAACAAACTTAATTTCCAACATTGAAGTACAAAAAATGATATGTTTTGTTCAGTAAATTTGTTTGGAGAAACTGGTTTAAAAATTAAAAAGGGAAATTATGATCACTTTAAGATGCTGTTCTTACATCTAGTAGATGGGTATGGGTTTGCTGACTGATCAGTCCAGTGGTCAGAATGGCCCAGGCTGTATGTAGCTTCGTTGTAATTCGAGAGTGGCTGTGGTAGCAGAAATATTAGGAAATAACTATGAAGGGTAAGATAGCAAGTTAATTACTGAAATACACAGAATTAATGAAAAATTAGTAATGAAAGAAGCAGCCTAAGAGACAAGTGTCTCAGAAGTCTGTGCCATGCACTCAGCTCTTGTTTTCCTGATAGCAGATTATGGGGAGCTGGGCAGCTCAGCCTGGCCCCGCGTCCTGGGGCTGCAGGTGGCCTGTGGGCTGGTGCCCGGACCAGCCATTTCACCTCCTGGGCCTTCCAGCTCCAAAATTCTGTGCTTTAATATGTAGTAAGTTTCTTCTTTTTTTGGTTCAAAAGGCAAAGGGATTTCAGTATATTACTGCAGGATGCATATTTTAATTTTTGCCTCAATAGAAAAAGCTAATTTGAAGTTCAAAAGTTGATTTATAGATATGTGAGATATAAGAGAAGTTGTTGGTTTGGGACACACTTTTCTTTTTTAATGAGTTTAAATCCTAGGGTTTTGGTTTTTTTTTCATCTTTATTGCGATAGAATTGACAAATAAATTTGTCAGGTATTTAAAGTGTAAAACATAATTTGATGTATGTATACTTTGTGAAAAGGATTGGGATATAATTTTCTATTAAAACATAAAAGAGCATCTGCATACGTTTGTTTTCTATGTGTAGTTCCTTGGATGCTAAAACGTTTTCACTTATGGAAATGTTTTTAATTTAAATAAATATTGTCATAATTAGCAGGATATTGAAATTCTTTGAAATCTCTAGTTTTATTCCCAAGTGTTTTTTTTGTTTTCTACTCTAGATTCTGGTATTCTTTATGAAACACCAGAACTGTTATTTAAAGCTTTGATTTGCACATTAATGTGGTGTGGTGCAGGTGATGTTTGTCTTTGAAAAATTTCTCTGGAAGGCAAACTGAATGTTTCAAAATTAGTCATTTGTGTGAAGATGACTTCTGCCCTTCAAAAATATCACCTGCACTATATCTTTATTCTGTACTTATTTTCTGACTTACTAAACACATGTTGTTTACTCAGATTTCACCTGGGTGCTGGAAAAATATGGGGGTGTGGGAGGGGGCAATGAACCTTTTTTATTTTTCTGGGAGATGCTGAATAAATGAATATATTTACATGCCAGAGAGTACTGGTTTTGCATACAAATAAATAGATAAAACACATGGTTACAACTGTATTCTATTCTTTTAAAAATTTGTTTTGACATATGTCACACTAGTAATTAATTTCTAGGCTGAAATTCTTACAAATAGTGCGACCTTACTGAGATGACTTTGTTTACTCAAAATGGCAGTGCTTTGTTGGAAATTTAATTGGGGTCTTTTGCATTATCCGTATTCATAAAAGATCTTTCAGATCTGATTTTGGTTGAAATATTGCTTTTGTACAGATTCTCTGATAGAATGAGAGAAGAGTTATTGCTGAGTGAAACATAGCTACTTTTCAAAATGAGAAAAATAAGAAGTGATATATCTGCTTTAAACAAAATTTTTGCATCATAGTTTCAGTTCTTACATTGTTCTGACACCAATGTCAAATCTTTTTGCCAAGAGCTTGTTTGATTGTTTCAATAAGAAAGTACATTGAAGCCTTAGTGAGAATCACCAGGAAACGTATATGTTTATTCTGTGTACACTTTTTTTCTTTAAAATAGTTTTGTCTCCCTAGCAGTAACCCATTAGAAAGAGATTGGAGTTTGAATTCATGCATTATAAAGTAGATTGTGTGTTCTTTTGATTTTTATGAATGTTGTCACGTTTTGTACTACGTCTGGTGTTTGTGGAGATTGCATGCTTATCCCTGATGTTCTCCTAAATGATTTTAGTTACTGTGAATTTTAGACCGAGTCTAAGCAAGGTCAACAGATTATACTCTTTATCTCACCCTTTCAGTGTTCATTTTTCTCATGATCTTGGCCAAATTAGATGCGGCCAAGCATCGTTCTGCGGTGGTGTTACAATAAGATGGAAATGGGCAGCAAAATCACAGCTGCTTTCATAGCCAGGCTTGTTTCAAAGGGTCCATTGTCCTGAGAGTTCTGTGGCTAGCCGCCTCATGATGTTGGATGTAAATTAGGACTTCTATAAGGGAAGAAAGCGAAGGAAGGCAAGTTGTTTCAAAAGCAGTAGGAATAAATTAAGCTCAGCAAATGCGTTTTATCCACAAATTCTATTCAGCAATCAATTGAAGAGTGTCTCCTGTGTGTTGGGCACCACATAGAATGTTTCTGCCCTAAAGGATTCACGTCCTGGTGGGAAAACATAGAGGGGAGTAGACGCTCCAGTACAGTGTGATAGTGCTGTCATGATATGTGTATACAAGATGCAGCCGGGACTACAGACCAAGCAGTGCCTGAGTGGTGCCCAGTTAGTACTTGCTGCATTAATGAAAGTTAGCTTTGACTTAATTCTTGGAGGAATGGCAATTAGAAGTATTCCAGAAGACAGGCAGTGGTGACAACACGAGCAAAGGCATAGGGTGTGAAAGAACACGTGTACCTTGCTCATCTAAGCAGAATTGGGGTTTTCATACCTATAGAAGAGGCAAGAGTGATTTCCCTCTACCTGAAGCCTAGTGAGGGCGCTTCAAGAAAGAATCAACCGAGCTGGGTATTTGCCAGGAGGAGAGATTGACCATCTCACCCCAGAGGGATGTTTTTACAGGGGACTGGAGTGGAACACGTGGAAAAGCCCTTGAAAGAGCCTGACATATGTCCCCTGGAGTTGGAGGATGAATTACTGGTGTTTGACTGTTATCTGCACACATCTGACAGTGAGATGCTGGTTATACCTGCCGCAATGGCAGGATTTTGCCATTTTGGTAATGAATAACTCCTGGCTTCTTTTTGGTAGATAAGAGTGGCCACTAAAGAGATTTGAGATTGGTGAGGGTTTTCTCCCCCTCTCTCCCCAGTTTTGCTACCAAGCTTCAATGAAAGCAAGTCTCCCACGAAATTCTATTACACATGCAGTCAAATATGTACATGCAATCAAAATCAAGCAATCAAGCAGGCCAGAATAAGTCATTCAGTCTGTTCTGTAAGCTCATTGAGGCCCTCAGACCGTCTCTTAGATGCAGAAATTACCATTCTGATTGGAAAGTTCACTTGCAAGTAGATATGGCAGCTTTCCAAAGTTACTTACTCTATTGTGTCTATTTCAAGCAGTGGAAATTTCCCCTAATCTGGTGGCTGGACACAGGAACCGTTAGGAGTCAAGCCTCAGGGATTGCCCTTCAAGGTTTCTTTCTCAGTTCTGCTGTCTGCCCACTAAATTCCTTTTTCCCAGCTCTTCATGTTTTATAAGTGTCTTGTGTGTTTTTCCAGAGTCACTCTATCCTAGGTATTCTGCACCTTGTTTGTTTTCTTTTCTTTTGTTTTTTTTTTAGCTGAGCCATCCTGCCACCTGTTGGCAGCTCAGCAGCAACTCAGCTTGGGCTGGGAATTGAACCGGCGACCCTGTTGCTCAGAGCTCACACTCTTGAGTGAGCTCTTAACCCACTGAGCCACACGGCTGGCCCCACCTTGTTTGTTTTCTTAACCAAAATATTTTGGAGATCACTTGACATCACTTCATAAAGAGCACCCTCTCTTTTTTATAATTGAGTAGCACTCCATTGTACAAATGAGGCACTGTTTTATTCCCGCAGTTCCTCATTGGTGGGTATGACAAACAGGCTACAATGAATAATATTGTTCCTCTGTCGTTTTGTACGTGGCCGAGGATGCTTGTAGGTTATATGCCAAAAGTGGACTTGCTTGTTAAAGATGTATAGACATTTGTAATTCTGATACATATCACCAAATTGCCCTTTAAGGGAAGTGCCAGTTGACACTTTTGCTAACAGTTGCAGAAGCTCTGTTTTCTTTTGACTCGCTAACAGCACTAGCAATCTAAGAGGTGAAAAAGGATCTCCCTGTAGTTTTAATTTTAGCTGAGACTGGACCTGTTAAAATATACCTGAGAACTATATTATTCCTTTACTGATTATTTGAATTATGCTAAAGTTATTGTAAGACGAGAGGAGGTTCATATGAAGTACTGTCTATAGAGCCTGTCACATAGTAGGTGTTCAAGAAATGTTAACTGTGCTTAGTAGTGTTCTTGGTAACTGAAAGGGCTTTGACAGGAAGTGACACCTAAGTGTGAATGCAACTCTGTCTTACCAGCTGTCTGCTTTTGGCAAGTTACTGAACTTCTCTGAGCCCGAGTTAGCCCATCTGCGCTGGGGACTTGGCATAGATTTTTCTTGTTGAAACCCCACAGCAGTCTCAGGAAGGAGGTATGACAGCAATATGGTATCCTAGGAGGTTCAGAAATGGAGAAACCTGCCCCTAGGTTGGTAGGTTCTTGAACAGGGAAGGAACCTCGATCTGCCTGCATTTAAACATGTTAATGCCATTTCATGATAATGGATAACAATAGCTGTGTTTGAACTAGAGGTCAGCTAACTGTTATTACTTGTGAAGCTTCTGAGCTGCAATTGAAGTGTGTTGATGGTTGAGCTGATCAAATTACTAATGTAAGTGGGTTGGAAAATTTTTATTATTATTCTTATTTGGGTCAGATTGATTATTTACTGGAATTTATTTCCCAAATAAGATTACCTATTTAGAGGAAGGCTTTTTTACTGGGATTGCAACACTTGAATGTTTTCTGTTGAAAAATGTTTTGAAGCATCCATAGCTAGAAAGAACTTCTGTTACTTATTTACTGTTCTTAAGCCTATATACTAGTTCCTGCTTTAATGATAGTAAAAATGCAAAAAAAAGTTAT